GGAAATCTAATACTTTGAATTCTCTCTTTGCAGTAAAAATGCTGTTTAAATGCTGATTAAATACATGCCCGCCTTCCCATAGATTATTTTATCAATCTGACATGGTATCCTCAAGTAGAAATACACTAGGTATTTGTTTTCTATTAAAACCATAGTACTTATAAAAGAAAAAACAATTCCAAGCAAATTTTGCCCCAAACTTTTCCTTATAGTTTTTCAGTAACTTTCACTGTCTTATCAACTGTTCATAATCATTTTAAATTTGTGTGAGGCTGCAACTGTTTTCATTATGGATTGGTAAAATGCCCTGACAGAAGAGCAAGCAGCACTATTTTGGATGTGGGTACTACTACAGACCAAAACAGGACCCTAAGGCAAACCACTTTGCTGTAATGGCTGTATTCTCACCATAACAGGTTAGGCTAAAAAATGCCAGTCAGAAGGTAATTTAGAAAGTTGTCTTTATTATAATCCAAAGACAGGGGTAAATTCTAATTTTTATTCCAGTTTCATTAACATTAGCTTTTCTATTACACAGATCCTAACTTCTAAGCAAAGAACTTGTAACAGACAGGGTGTACTACACCAACAAGACCCACCTCATTCTCACAGATTCTGTGGCTCAATAGACGGGAAAGCTATAGTGGAAGAAGACACTTCTGCACCTACTCTGCTTTGCCATCCTTTCCAGAGGAGGATAGAGCTACAGTTACCTACCATGTGCAGCCTCAAACCCATCATATTTTATGGAATCACACTCTTGGATTTTCGACACAGGACCTTGTATTTTCTGGGCACTGGTTCTCTTGTCTCTCAAACACACAAGCATCTCTCTCACCTTAAACAAGGTAATGCAGACTTCACCTGCTTGATACATTATCTGCACTGCTCTTTCCTTATAGGCAAAGTAGACCCCAGTGCTTTCTTGTCTCCTCCTATGCCTTAGGAAACAGAAACAGTGACAGTAACCAGCTGGCTGCCTCCAATGTACATTACTTGACTGAATCCTCACAACTCACCACTGTTACTGTTTTACAGATGAGGTGCCCAATAATTACAGGGAATTAGCTCCAAGGTATTGCATCAAGTGGGACTGAACTCGGGGCCCACTTCCCATTATAAGCATGGCCTTGAGTTCCTGAGCCATGGGTCACCAGAGAAGGAGTCCTCATGGCACGGCACCCCACTTTTCTCAGGCTTCTTCTCCTTCTATAGTCTCTACCCACACCCAGCTTTGACTCTTGCTCTATCTAGAAGCTGTCTGCCACTGCCCCTGAGCATCTGCTGCAGGTCTTAGCAGCTTGCTCATTACCATGACCAGCTTTTCCAGGGAAATATTTCTACATCCATCTCTCCCATTCCTTCCTCCAACTGTCACCACTTCCACTTGAACACCTCACTATACACTAGCTGGGCTTCCCATAGCTGCCCAAGCCCCTTCCCACATTTATCATTCCCACTTCTAGGATTATCTTTCAGGGACTCAGCACTTGCCCTGTTCTACTCAGAACCACATTGTCTATCACTACTGACCGAACTGTCTCTACAACTAGGATCCAACATAGCATATCATTTTGCCAGCATTTTTTAAACTCCCTGGTAGCATAAAGCTGGCATTTTCCTCCTTCTTCTCCCTCGGCCCATTTCCTTACCTTTCCCTCTGTTCCTTCCTACCTTCAACATTTCCTAAACATGTTCTCCTTCCTTAAAGATCTCTGGAAGGGAAAACAATTCCTGTTCCAGTGTGAAGGAAATACATCATACCAAGCAGAAAATATCATAGTAACAACACTGCTGAGCTTTTTCTGTAGGCAAATGAGTATCTAACTACACAGAAGCCACTGACTTGACAGAGCAAAAGCTGTACCTCAACAGTGTCACTTGCACCCTGCCATCAAGGACAAAGAAGTAAACAGGTAGGCTGTCTACAAGTTACTTCATGACATATTCCACTCCCAGGAGCTAAAGATACCCAGAGAGGCACTGGGGAGTCACCTGGTAAGGAAGTGGTAGGAATGCTCAACTGGACAGACAATCCACACAAGTCATTCATTCCTAGTTTACTCCTGTTGAGGCAGGATCCAAAGATGAGTGTAGCTGGGATCCTTCCTTGAAGAGCACATGGCCCTTGGGGGAGCTGCAGTCACCAAAGCTTCCCAGTCCACTGTGACTCTGAACTTCTGCTATGGACTTACCAGAGTTAGCATTTAGTTGTACACTGAACATTCACCCAATCTCCCCAAAAAGAATGGTAGTCACTTCAACCATACCTCAGACATGGTACTTTTCCTGTGATTCTCTTCAATTAAGGAGGTTCATTCATTGTTAAAACTGCCTGGCAACTCTCAGAGGCTGAAGAAACATCCCTCCATCACTGTTCAGACATTTTCTAGCATAAAATAGACTACATCTAAAATCTTTTCAAACATCCTTCCCACTAATCCTGCAGAATTTTGCTCTAATTGTAACAGGAGAAATTTTTCCATTACATTTCCTACCCAAAGCAATCTACTTTTGGGAAAACAAAACACATGAACAAACAAAACCTTAGAATCATTGTTTCAGAATCTCTGTTCCCCTAGTCAGACCATGACAACCTGGCACCTGGCTGGAGCTAGAGGCGGCCCATTTCAAGCTTTCTGGTCCATCCCAAGGCCTAGTGAGAGAACAGTCTGGCTCCCTCAGACCCCCACCATAAATCAGGCACAGCTTTATACTGCACGGGAGTCTCAGCGGGAAGAGGAATGGGATTTGTTTGGTCTCTCTCTAGCCTTGTGTCTGGAGCAACTGATTCACTCAGCAGACACTGGCTGGCTGAATAAACACTCTCTCAGTTGTGCTACCTCCTATTCAAGGAAGCCCACTTGGGCTGCGCAGTATCCTTGCTCATTTCCCCCATAAACATACAAAGCCCTGTCACCTCTCCCATCTTCTGGGACCCAAGGTTCTTGAGGTGCCGCAGTCTGGCTGGGCACAAAATAATCGAGCCACCACAAAAGCCTTATAGATTCAAACAGCAATTCTTTATTCCTGAACTCTCACCGGCACTCTACACGCAYGTTCTGGGGAAAATACACTACCTCCAACCGGCTCTGCATACCAAATACTCTCTGAATCCCCCGAGAACTCAACGGGAACTCAAGGAGTGGATGCCTGAGGCAACAGGATACACTCTATTCCCAGCAGGATCCACCCTAAACCTGGACCCACCCTCATCCAGCAGGATCCTCCCTAAACCCGGATCCGGATCCGCCCTAATCCCTGAGCAAGGTCACCTTTCATGCAATGTCACTGCAAATGACCTGGGTCCAAGGCAAGCCCATTTCCACAATGGAGAGTCCTCCCTCTAAGCAACATTGGGTAGGCTGACAAGGAAATTGCAATGCGTCATTCCTACTTGGCTATGGCTCTCAGCATTGAGGAACAGCTGGACAGTGAGAGGAGATGTCCTGAAAATCCACATCCAGTCCAGTCTCCTCCATCAGTCATACACTTTGCTACTCCTAATATTCATCACAGGCCACACAAGAGGGGAAAATTGCTGAAGAGATCAGCTCTGGTTTCAGGCTTCAACAATTATAAGTGCATAGAATTTTTACTCCAACTCAGAACTCCCCAAAGTGTTTCCCAGCAGATGGGCTCCTCAGGTGACCTTGTTGAGATGCAGAAAACTAAAGTTTTTCACTGTCATTTTCTAATTTCAGGATTTATTAATCCATCCTTCCAAATCATGGTGCTCTTAAATAACATGATTTACCTGATGCTTGAGTCACTTATTTACTACAAAAGAAGACTATTTCAAGAGAAAAGAATTAAGAACTGATTAAACCATCTAACTCATTTTAATTTAGGGATATGAGAAAGGTTTTTAAATTTGACTAAGTATACTACAAATGATATAATAATTTCATGTGTAGGAAAGAGCATTTAATTTTATATTTGGAATGTCACAAACATAAGCAGGAATGCAGGAAGAGTGGGTGTGGAATCAACCCAGAAGGCAGGAGACAGCTTTCAGGTCTGTTCTGCAAACCTTTAACATTTTATCAACAGAGCACAACAGTCCAAGCTCTTCCAGTGGAGAGTTATAAAAATAGTTTGCTCATTAAAGTATGTCAATGTCCCCTTTGGAGCCTAACATCTGATTGTTCAGAGACTGTTAAGTCATTTTTAATATGTGAGATATTCTGGGTTTTTGCAGCCAGCAGAGAAGGAGAAGGGAAAGCCCTAGCATGTTTCCAAGAACAGGAGGACAGATCGATGGACTATTCTCCATATTCTGGGTTCCAGTTTGTCCGCTCCCTTTGCAAGCAAACACCTGTTCACTACATGGGCTTTTCATTTCAAAGGCAAAACCGTGGTACAACTAAGAGAAAAAGTTCATCACAACCAATCTCTCCTCCCAGAGCCTTGGAGAAGATCGTGTCCCAGCCTGGGGCCTCGCCCCCGACTGCAAACAGCACACTGTCAACCGCCTCACCAGGAGGCGGGACACTGAGACTGGGGGGCACTGGGAAGGAGCAGCACCCACCCACTCCTGCACCAGGTGACAGGGGTCTCCCGCGGGTGCTCAGGCCGCCACTCCACAAACTATTCCATCTCGAAGTCCTCACCCCTCCGCGGCCCCCTTTCCCACGCCCCCTAGCCCTGGCGCGCTCTCCCCCACGTCCCCTTCCCCTCACACCCCCTCCCCCTGGCGAGCCCCTCCCCCTCGCCGGCCTCTCCCCTTGGGGAGCCCCTTCCCCCTCGCCGGCCTCTCCCCTTGGGGAGCCCCTTCCCCCTCGCCGGCCTCTCCCCTTGGGGAGCCCCTTCCCCCTCGCCGGCCTCTCCCCTTGGGGAGCCCCTTCCCTCTCGCGGAGCCCCTCCCCCTCGTCAGCCCCTCCTCACACCCCCTTCCCCGGGCGAGCCCCTCCCCCTCCCCCCTCACGAGCCCCTTCCCTCAAAGCCCTTCCACTCTCGGAGGCCCTTCCCTCACCACCCGTCCCCCTCGCCCCGCCTACCGTGCCTCCGGCTCACCGACATCGCAGAGCCGGCAGCTACCCCGTGGCCCACCCAGGGGTCGGGACGCGCGGCGGCGCTTCCGGAGTTAGCCGGCCTAGGCCCGCCCACATGCGGATCGTCCAATCCGGGCCGGGGATGCCTGCCGGGTCCGTCAGTCATTCGCGTTCCTTCCTCGGATCGGCTGGTTCCAGGTTCAGGGCGTGTCCGAGCCTAAGGCCTCGCCCCCGACCGCCTCGCCACGGAGTCTGCGCGGAGGGCGCAGAAGGGGCGGCCTCGGAGCTGGGAGGGGGCGCGCCCGCGGGAGGTGGCGCTGGGGCGCAGGTCCGGGCGCGAGCGCCAGGGAGGAGATCCTGGCCGGCGAGACCGAATCCCGAGGCCTGAGGGAGCCGGGTCCCGGTCGCTCTGTCTGTGTGCGTCGCCGGCCCGTCCCGGCCCCGGTGGCTGCGCGGGACCCCGGTGCTCGGCCGACCTGCGCCTCCGCGGATTCGCCAGTGTGCGGTCCGCACGTGGTGCCCGCTGGGCGCACGGACCCCAGGCGGCCCCGTCCCGAGCGCTCCGGGAGGCAGGGCCGGCAGGGAGGCGCCCTGTGAGGGTCGGCGAGAGCACGCGCGCGGGAGAGGCGCCGCCGGGCTCCGGGCTCCCGCCRTCCGGGAGCCGCGGAGGGTCCTGGGGCGCGAGGTAGCCTGGGGCTCTGCGGGCCGCGGAGGCCAGCGGCGGTCGGTCGGCGGCGCAGTGGAGAGTTCCGATGTGCGTTCCAGAGGTGGTTAGCCGCCGGCCGAAAGCCCACTTCCCTGAGGGAATTGGGAGACTACTTTGAGTCAAATGCAGTGAGAAAGATGTCATGGGCTCGCATCTGTGTTGTCCTTGGAGGTTGTGGGAAGAGGTATAGTGTGGATGTGTGCGAAGGCAAAGTAAAGGAAGTTTACTGGCTGATCCAAGGGGCTGTGACTTTTGGAAAAAGGGAAGTCTAGAATGGACCCGAGATTTTCTTCTGGAAGCTGTAAAGTTGGAGTTGCCCAGATGAGGTGAAACCCTTGGGGGATCTTTTTTGGGTGATGGTGTGCAGCTTCAGACAGGTGACATTCCAGATACTCACAGGATGCACACACCCTTGTGATCAGGAAGGACATGCGCCAGGAAGACCCCCCAGGCAGACATGTCTTCCAAGGACAGCCCTTAGGGCCTCAAACCTTTGGAAAGTGGGGAGATGAGGAGGTCCTAGCTGCAGCCCAAGAGAGGGGGTGTGGCCAGAAGAGAGGGAAGAACAGGGAGTATCACTAAGCCAAGTCAAAGAGATCATTCTTCCCAAATGATGCTGATAGGTCAAGATGAGGACTGGCCACGTACAGTTGGATTTGTTAAGGGCAAGCCATTGATGACTTTGATTACAGTGATTTATTGGAATGTTAGAGGCAAAAACTTGATGGATATTCACAAAGAGAATTGTAGGGGAAACACTGAAGAAGCTGGACCTAGGCTACCCTCTAGTAGGGCCAGGAAAGTGGCTGGTGGCTAGAGGGGTTTTTAACACAAAGTTTGTGTGCCAATTTGGCCTGCTCAAATTGATATTGGAAAATAAGTCCTGTAGGAGAGAGGGAATAAGTGCTGGGATAATGCCCTTCCTTAGGTTACCCTCAAACTTCTTGTTCTTCATTTCAATCATTCTCACCAGCATTCAGGCCTATTCTGGACCTTCCTATGTTTCAGCAAAATCTTCCCAGGAGCCAAGTATTTTCCTCCAGCACTGCTTCTTCAACCATACCCTATTCTTGGAAGACTTGACTACAGAGTCAGTGTCCATTTTGACATCAGTTGACTTCGTGGCCCAACCCATCTTTTCCCTCCATCCCGTCAGTCACTGTACCTACTTCAGCTACAGTCCCCAAGGACTTCCACGTCACCAACTCTAGCACAAACTTATCCGTCCTCCTATAACACTGTTCGCAGAAGCACCATAAGCCCAGCTGCCACACCAGCTTCTGGAGACATCATTGCTTCCTCACTCCCTCCTCTCTTCCCACATGACCCATCCAGAAAAATCTCAAACATCCTTGTAACATTCCTTACTTCCCCTGCCAAATTTGTGTTTTCATCATCTCTCACTGAGATTTCTTTAGGCATTTAAAAATTGATCTCCCAGGTCCCACTCTTCATTTCTCATTCCCACCCCATCACCTTCTTTTCTCACTGCAGCCAGAAAGATCTTTTAAAAATTCCACTGCCATTCAAAAATCCACGGTAATCCATCACAGCAACAAGGCACAGAAGAAAAATCATACAATCTTAACAACAGGTATAGAGAAAACTTTTGATAAAGTGTAACGTCTGTTCATGATTGCAAAAAACAAACAAACAAACAAACAAACAAAAAAACCTGAAACTCAGCTAACAACAAATAGAAGGTGACTTCTTCCACTGGATAAAGAACATTTATAAAAACTCTACAGCTAGTAATAAAAGACTAGCAGGTTCTCCACTAAGAACTAGAATCAGGAACTAGAATGTTCCTTCTCACCATTGCTTTTCAACACCATACTAGAAAATCTAGCTAATATAATAAGACAAGAAAAAATAAATAAAAGGTATATAGATTGGAAAGGGAGAAATAAAACTTTTTTTTTTTCTGCAAAATTGCCCTGCTCAAAATCATACATTGGATCTTCACTGTGTATGACACAATTCTAAGTCCTTAAAATGTTATAAAAATGCTACTCTCTCCCTTACTCACTTAGTTCTGGTTATTCTAATTGGTCATTTAGAAGAAAAAGCACTAAGTCTTCAGGCCTGCTCTTCTGTCAGGAACCCTTTTACAACCACTGCCTAATTCCCTTTCTTCTTTAAAGTTCTGACATGCCAATTTCTGACTTCTTCTCATCTACTCACTTTTACCTAGAACCTTGCTGGTAGTTCTCTTTGATGCTGTGGGGCTATGGGTATTACTGGGGATGTGGAGGTGGAGGGAGTAACCCTTGATCTTTGGGGGATGGAATTCATCTGAAAACACATCCCACCTTCCCATTCTCAGGTACATTCCATGCTGTGCCTTAGAGAGTTCCTGGGGAGATTTAGGCCAGTTGCCTTCAGGAATGACCAGCCTGCTAATGCATCTTCCACTAGCTTTTCTCTCTCTCTCTCTCTCTCTCTCTCTCTCTCTCTCTCTCTCTCTCTCTCTCTCTCTATTTCCCTGTCTCTGTTTCCTCTATTTTCTGGGGATCCATCTCTCAAATATAGTATCTGCACTCAAGTCCTTGTCCTAGGTTCTCCTTGGGGGAGAACCTAGAGGAAGATTTAACTTACTACTTGCTCAGCTCAAAGAGTTCTTCCCTGATATCACACACTATTAACAGCACTTTTCATTCACCAGCAACACTCTTTATCTTTCCTTCAGAGAATCAATTGTATTTGTGATTGCACATCATTCCTGTGACTTTTAACATGACTTCATACCTAGACTGGAAGATCCATGTGTTTAGTGTCTCTTTTTTGGTTCTATGGTAAAGGGCATCTCATGAATCTAACCAGGATCTATCCCGACATGGCCACTGTTGCTGAATTTGCCAGATTGCTGTGGGTTGTTAGTACAACTTCCAGGAGATGAATTCTTTTCCCCTGGCTCGGGCCATCTATGTTCAGCCTTATCAAGCAGAACAGGGTCAGAGCATCTGGACCAAATTCAATAATAAAGAGGTGTTGTTCGGTTCGTGGGATCCCAGGGCACCAGGGGTGGATCCCTCTTTCCTAAGAACACTAGGACTAGCCGGTGGATAGTAGGAAGTTCCGTTTTACAGTGCCTACAGTCATGGCTTGCTCTAAGAGCAGCTGAGTGCCTTGAAGACACTAGAGGACGTATCCTGTTCTGTACTGGCTCTCTATGCCCAGTAAGCCCTGTGGTGGTGGTGGTGAAGACCTCACACTGCAAGTCAGTTCTTATGAATGCGCCGGCGGGTCCCTAATGTCGGTTAAGCACTGGCTGAGCCTTCCCAGGTGTTGAGTAATGTGTGTAGGTAGGTTCCCAGGCTAACTTTCAAGCAAGTTGAACGGTTGTCCTGTGTCCCAAGCCACCGCGGTCTCAGAGCCCTTGGTGTCCCCGGGTAACCCGCCGCTCCTGGCGCAACAGTTGGGTCCGGTGGTACAGCCGGCCTTGCGGTCGAGCTGTGCGCGCGCTCCCGGGCTCTGCGCGCCTAGAGACCAGGCTGCAGGGTAGCCGCCGCGCCGCRGCCTGGGCGCTCCCCCGAGGCGCGCGGGCGCCGGGTCCTTCCCCAGATGGAGCTGCGCGCCGGCCGCCCCCCAGTGCGCCGGTGCCTCCCCGGGCTCCAAGTGCGCAGGCGCCGGCCCCGAGGACCGACAGTGCGCGGGGCTGGAGCGCGGTCGGAGCGCACGGTGGCGGTGGTGGCGGCGGCGAAAGACTGAAGGATCGCGGGCGGACGGCGGACCCACAGACCTAGGAGCTTAGGAGTCGGCGGCTGTGCCGCACGTGCCGCCTGGCTGGAGGGGTGGCCACCTAGCCATGTCACCTAGTACCTGCTGAACTAGGAGTGCTTGAGGATGTCCGCGCTGAGGAAGGTGCGAACCGCCTGGGGCCGGGGGAAGGGGGACCGACACTCCGGGGCGCTGGACCTCGAGACCCGTAGGGGCGAGTAGGGGGCGGTGCGGTGTGATCAACCTGCGTGGACCCTCTGAGAATGGCTACATGGGGGCGGGGGCGGCTAGGGGACACCGGGGGTAACCTGTGTTAGGGGATTCTTCGCTGAGCTCCTCGCTGGGCTGCTACCGGACCCCGGGTTCCTGGGGTACAGGAGCCTGCGAGGAGCTGGGTGAGGCGGAGGTGTGAAATTTCCGGTGGAACCCCGCCGGGAGGAACGCGACACGAGAGCGCCGGCTGGCGAGGGTCTGCACGCCCGGCTCCTGGAGGCAGCTGTGGGGGAACGGGGGCAGCAGCCAGCGACTTGCATCCGCCCTCCCCCAGCCCAGGTGGGAACGCCGCCCAGACTGGGAATGAAGGAAAGGTGCTGGGAGCTGGGCAGCTGGGCTGTGCGTGGTGGTCGTGGAGGCCGGGAGGGGTCATTTGAGCTGGGTCGCAGCGGCTGTCGCGAT